CGGATAGTCACTGGGGTAACCTACTTTTAAAATACATCAAGGAGCAGCTACAGGAAAGGAGGGGTTCTGAAAATAAATATGAATGTAAATAAAATAATTATCTTGTACATTGGTCTTCCTGCCATTTACCAGTTCTGACAGTTATGTTTTTCTTTTCTTCCCTTCATGTAACCCATGGAGAGCTGCAAATACTGTTTCAGTCAAATCAGCATCCTACATCCACAGAACAGCTGGTGGGATACATCTCAGTAGAAGGACACTCTGAACTTACAATGGAAGCAGAAATCACAGGGGAAAAACCAAGACCTCTGTTAGGCTTCTGCTACTGCATGGAGGAAGCAGCAGATGCCTCAAGTGAGAAACAAGGAACCACCAATTGACGACAGGAGAAGGAAGACAGCAGCAGAGATCTTTACATGGAGGTGAAGGAAGGAACTGGCTAACTGAGCGGGGGAGACTGGGAAGGAGAGAAGAAAATTAGAAGGAGAAAGACCACTGCAAGTAGGTACTGAAAGAAGGCTCTGTAACCATTTTTCTTGACAGATAATGTTTGGCACACAAAATTTTGCATTCAGTATTACTTAATGTCTAGATTGTGATTACCCAGTGATAAGATCAGCGCCCTATTTTACCGAGGGTAAAATTAATATAAATAACCACAGTCTCTTCACACATAGGTGAAGTGTTAACATAAAAAAGTCATTATTGTTTTTTAATAGTATTTTTAAAGTACTTCCAAGATAGAAGACAAACTTTGGTTTACCAGCTCTGGGATTTCCTTGTGTCTTATTAAAGTATTAGAACTGAGAAAATGTTTTCCTTCTTCAAAGAAAGCTCTGTTAAGACCTGCATATTCCTCTTCTCTCTTCTAAACAGACCAATATTTGGCACTGTATATTTCCTTCAATCTTCTCAAAATATCCCTAGTCTCTTCAAAGAGGCAAATAAAACAGCCTGCCTAAATATGTCTAACTTTTCAAGCCAATCTTCCTAGTCTATAGAGTACTTTGAAATGTTCGTGCAGTCAAGCAGAGCTGTTTGCCACTGAATTTGTGCTAAGAAGACAAAAGAGAATATGTCAATTTCAGATGTTCTGAGAAGTGTCACTGGAAAAAGAGAGACTTGTCTGCTGCAGCGCGGAGCTATGCTAGGCTCCGGGAACACAGTAGGGAGAAAAAACTGGGACAAAACAAAACAAAATGCTGCAGCACAGAATAGCTTCCAGCTGTGCACCACAGGGAATAATTTAATGCACTCTATCCACAATGTAGATGAAGAGTTTTATACAACCAGAAAATAAACCCAGTTCGAAGAAATAGTTGTCCAGACACAACAGAGTTTGCAGACTGAAAAAAACTGACACTAAGCCTATTTGTCCAGAGGAAAACAAAACTGGAAGATAAGTATTTCAGTCCCCATTTATGTTGGTTGCCCTAAACTACTGTGCATTATAGTACTGCTCGGTAGTCATCCTTTTCTCCTTCCAAAGGAAGTGGAAATGTAGTTTTCGATGTTCGGTGGTAGAGGTAGCTTCGTTTACTTTCAGGGAATTTTCTCTCTTCATACAGAGTAATGTTACGTACATCCCCCTGCGTATTTAACTTCAACACAAAAGATACAGTATAAACCCTAACCTGAAGAAGCTTGATAACAAAGCTAACTATAATGCTTACAAAGGAACAGATGTATCTGAAAAAGGGTATATTGATTATCTAGTAATATTACCTTGCCTCTCCACAGCTTACAACATTGAAAATCTCTAGGGACTTTGCTGATTTCAATAGCAAAACACAATCAGTTTTACAGACTGGGAGACGGAGTGAAAAAACTGCTATTGGCTTCCCCCAATATAATATTGTATAAAATATATCAGCATCCTCCTAGCTTTGTAATGAATTTCCTTTTTCCTAGAGCTGTCACAGAACGTTCCTTTGCAAAGCAGAACAGAAAAATACAGGTGAAGATGAAATCCTGTCTATCTTGACATCCATGGCAGAACTCCCACGGAATCAAAAATCCAAAGCACACAGATTTAATGGACATCGGATTTTCAAAAGTAATTACATTCCCAGTCTGAGTCAGACACCCACTGATTTTCAAACGCACGTCTGTACTCTAGCACAAATTTTAAAGTGTAAAATCCTAGTTGCACAAATAAGTTATCTGTAGAAAGAGTGCACTATGCATGAAGAAGCAAGCAGCACTCTTTATAGCTATTTCCTTGTATTTATTAGCCACATGACATTCATTAAATCCTTTGCAATGCAGTAGTATGGTCCTGGTCAGCCAAGCAGGCCTAACAAGAAAAAGTAAAGGGATCTCTGAGAGACAACACAGATCTACTGCAAACAGGAATTCTCCCAAACTGTGTATTTTCTGTTCTTAGATAGCACACACCAATGTACAATTTTCCCAAATTGCAGGATATAGCTAAAAATGACCTTTTGTAATGCCAGTGTCTCTATACTCAGAAGACGTGGTAAGTTTGGTTCCCCCCACTCGTGCACCTCCCTCAGCTGCTAAGACAGGGAGAGAGAGAGACCTGTACGATTTGTCTATCCCAGTCCTGTCCCACTTAAGGAGGAAAAAAAAAAGGATTATGACACCGAATAAAAATGAAAAAAAGAAAAGAAATCAGAATTTCTCAAAGGCAGAATAGAGCCTCAGAAAACTGGAGCCTCCAGATGCAATTTACTGCTCACTTTGGTCTTGACAAAGCTATTTTTTTAAGCAAAAAAACCCCTGCTATACATTGCCTTGGACACTAAAGAATATGAAGCATATTACTATTTTTGCAATAACTTCAAAATGAATGTCCACTGAAACCACACTGCAGAGTCAGAATTAGTTACTGTGCTCTTGAGTCTCCAACGCTGTCAACTTAAAGACTGAGATATTTGCTGTGTGTCACATGAGACAACAAAAGACATGTTGCGGAGGCTAATAAAAGTCATCCATCTATTCATCATCACCTACACTGACAAAATATCCAAACTGAGTTTGACATTACGAAACCAAAGAGCAAATGGAAAAACTGATCTTACCATATGTAAGAGATTCTGTGCACTTACTTGTACCCTGAGGTTTCAGATGAAAACAGTTTAAAGTATGTTTCTCTCAACTAATGAGCTCAAATAAACATTAAGTTCAATTCCCATTCTTTGAACTGATTTACTTCTTGCTATTCTGCTGTAATGCTTTACAAACCCATACTGTTAAGAATTCTAAAAGTTTTAACATTCTGGTAAACTGTGAGACTACCAATTAGCAATTTTTATGCAGAGTTCTTAACATCATATTCAGAGAATTAAAGAATCATTGAGGCTGGAAGAGACAGAATCACAGAATCACAAAATGGTAGGAGTTGGAAGGGACCTCTGTGGGTCATCTAGTACAACCCCCCACCCGAAGCAGGTTCACCTACTGCAGGCTGCACAGGACCTGGTCCAGGCGGGTCTTGAATATTTCCAGAGAAGGAGACTCCACAACCTCCCTGGGCAGCCTGTTCCAGGGCTCCGTCACCCTCAGAGGGAAGAAGTTCTTCCTCATGTTCAGACGGAACTTCCTGTGCTTCAGTTTGTGCCCATTGCCCCTCGTCCTGTCACTGGGCACCACTGAAAAGAGCTTGGCCCCATCCTCCTGACACCCACCCTTAAGATATTTATAACCATTTATTAGGTCCCCTCGCAGCCTT